GAGTGCAAATTCTATAAAATTAACATGAATATATTGCAGTATTTATTAATGAGAGTCCACTTTTCTATAACTATGAATGCTTATACTTTCTCCGAAACCGCGATTCGGCTTGATACTATTGTCGGTCTAGACATAATTATAAGATCCAGAAACAACATAACATAACAAATACATTCCGAAAAGTACGTAATTTTAGAGGTTCTTGTTCACTTACTGTCATCATGGCTAATCCTTAATTAACAAATGTATCAATAATTATTAAAACCGTATTAAGTAGTTTCCTGTAAAGGCATGTATAGTTACTTTGTTCTGACAAACCCGATGTGTTCACTGTAACGCTTATCGTGCTTATCGATTAGTTTAAAACTTGTAGTAACATGTTTGTACATGTTCGTATGCTCTTGCTTTTGTTTTCGATTTAATACTAGATGATAGCGGCACTTAACCGTTCCTGCTTTGACATGTTAATTACCGATAACACAAACATCGTAAGTAATCGCAATTGTAAAATAGAAGCGTTACTAGTTTTATTTTCAGGTTCAAAATTGGATGATTTTAAGTTAGATTTAGCCGATTGGAACTCTTTGGGAACCGACACAGAAACTGCTGTTCAGTTTCTGTGTGGGTTCCAAAAGAGTCTTTACTCATTAAATTGTTTACTTGTTTACAAAAACTGCGGGTTTATTTCCAGTGTTTTTAACTTATCGACAGAGTTGTAATATCTACGCTTGGTCGGACGGACCAACTAGAATTAAACCCGCTAAGTATATCACTATAAACAAATATAAAAAATCTTTACACAGTTTATAGGTACTCCGTCATATCCCTACCTCAGTAAAATCAAGAAATAGTAGTAGTAGTAGTAGTTATAATTGAGAAAAACATAGTCATCAACACCAACCGTTTTAAATCGAAAGAAATGGTTTATTTCTATTTAAAAAGTTTTTTTTTAGTTAGTTCTATACACGTGACAATAACAATCGCCAAAATGCTTAAATGCGTAGTGAAAGAATGCGATGCAAGGACACAAAACCATAATAAATCAAGCAGAATTACTTTTCACTCGTGAGTTGATAGTTTATGTATTGAAAATGACGTAAATAAGGCTATGATTGAATTAAAAAAATTAATCATTGTAATTTATATTCAGTCTTACCATTAAAACATCGTTTTGGTTTTCCCACATTAGTGGGAGAATTAATAGTTTATGAAATAATATGCATCGTACTGTTATTAAATATTTTAATAAAATATAGTAAGAGCGGACCAAAAGGGAAGTTGATAGGGCTGGACCGATCTTCTCTTTTAGGTTTTTTCACCTCCTTCCAAGCTCGCAGTGCTAGAGACTTTTGTACAAGAGAAATAATTCGTTGTATTTTCTTAATAAATTATCAATTATAAGATAATAATTTTACAGTATGTAAACATTGTAACAAAAAAACTAGATAAAATATTTAAATTAAGACTAGAACGGAACACGCTCGCTGTCGAGAGTGAGTTGATGTGAAATAAACTCGCACTTGGCCCTAAGACCTACAAAAAATGAGCATTCCTTACCTCAAAGGCCGTCAACGAGCTTGTGACTTCTTTTTTTTCTGTGCAGAACTCCCCTTGGATACCGACCAAAAACCTCATGCCGTCTCTAGGTACCAGTACCCGGGGAACCAGGTATACCCTAGAAAAGAAAGCCCTGATACCCCGACGTACCTCGGGCCACCTACGGCTTATAGATGACCACCTTACGTATGAGGGTGCTACTTTCCGCCTACAACTTTGGACTTAGCAATACACAAATGAGTAACTCATTGTTTTATATTTTAATGTTTTCAATGGCAAATTCATTCCGTTGGATGAATTCATGGTGTTGGATTCATGGCAATCATTTGGAATGTAATCGTTAATGTGATCATGAATTCGTAAGATTTTATACGGTAAATTACTTTCCTCTCTGCGTACCATCAAGAAATTCATGGTGGGTACGCAGTCCAGTAGAGTTGGATTGGGAAATGCTAGAATACAGACCGACAAAGAGATATCAAAATCTTTCCTACAACAAGATGACCTACAACAAGACCTACAAGGTGTACGCAATGAACCTAGAAATGCAGAATGAATGAACTCTAAGAGAATTTTGTATCCCACCAGCTTTGAAATGCGCACACTTTTATGCGATTGGTCACCTGCCCTATTAAAATTTTACTTCTCCAATAACTCTCCCCGATCAACGCAACCTAGTAAGGAAAGGCTTGTACGATGTGCATTGCGAGTGCAAGTAGGTACAGCCAGGCACTTACTGACAGGTTGTAAGGCGCTATTGGACCGGGTCATTTTTCACGTCGCCATGATAGGGTATTACAAATCAATCGCGAAGCTATAAGTTTATCGCTGGCGAGAGCGAAAAAAGAAATAACAACAAACATAAGAACTAACATCGCGTTTGTAAAGGAAGGCTCAACATTATAAATACCGCCAGTGACTGGACATTATTAGTGGACACGTATGAAAATCATTACAGAATACCGGAGGATATCTGTAACTCGGCGTCCAGGTCAGACATATTTCTTTATGCAATTTCAATTAAGCGTGTAGTACTAGTAGAACTCACGGTGCCGTGGAAAACGAAAATCCCCAAAGACCACGCTTTAAAAAGAAACAAGTACTTTGACTTAACCAACAAAATAACTAAGATGGTTATGTCGTTGCGTTGTATGCCGTGGAAGTGGGTGCGAGGGGTATACCAGCTCAATCCCTCTATAATCTGCTTAAAGGCCTTGGATTGCCAAGAGCTTTTAAGCTTTTTTCTTAAACTAATGTCCAAAGCGGCATTGCTAGGCTCGTATCAAATATGGTTAGGTAGAGGGGGTAACACAGCAGACAGTCGAGTTGAGCGCTGACGCGTCGCAAGGAGTATTCCCTAAACCTCTACCTGGGTCGCAAGTCCCAGGCGCTGTCGCGCTGTGTTGACCCGGCACCCGCACAGTTAATCCATGGAACGATAAAAAAGGTCTTTCTTTTATGATATAGATCACAAACGGGTGGACGGGTCGCCTGATGATAAATGACTGTCGTCGCCCATGTACACTTGTTACTCAAGAGTCACAAGTGAGTTGCGATTTGAGATCCCACCCTCTAAATCTAATTCCCAAACTATTTTGGACAAGAGACCCCGTTTCTAAAATGAACTGACACCTCAGACCCCCATAGCCAAATTAGTTTAAAATCCTATCTCTAGTTTTTTCCTATTGATAAAAAATACTTATAAATATAAAAACTTTGCCGTTGGTTAAGTGAGTAAACATCTTTTTCTCATCAAAATTTAACAAAATAAATCGACATATTAGTATGTCTTATAACAATTTGGTACACGTAACACAACTTATACGGTATATTAAAAATTTCAACTAAGAACTTGCGTTAATTAATAGGGGTCGATTTTAAACCTCGTCGACCACCACCAATATCAGTTTTCGTTTATGTCGACAACTGGGAAACCGATTTCGACCCCAAGGGATCGATATCGACCACTTTAATTTATAAAAATTAAAGAAATATAAATATATGTACATTTGATTGGATTGATATCGATTTTGAGACGATACGACATTGCTTTTCACTTAAGATACGCTGAATGATTTAGTACGAGATTTAGATCCATCAAAAGAACAATCAGAACCTCTTTTAAGCGTCGCAATCTCCGCAGACATGTAAGTATAGGTCTATAGTCCTGCAAATACTGTAAGTTATGTTTGATAATAAAACAATGCCTAACGCGCCGTTACCTTTTATTTTACGACTTTGGATAGAAAATAAAATAAAAGTAACAGCTGCCATAACAATAAACCGCCAAACCATTTCGATCCACACTTCTTTAACGGAATATGCCTGAAACATTTTATTACGTATAAGGTATGAAAATAATTTGAATTGTAAGCTATTCAACTGAAAAGTGATTTTTTTATTTTATATTTCTTTATATTATCAGAATCCGCTTTTAATTTTTGCCTCCTCCAACAACAGAATTCCAACGATCTGTATACATACTCGTATACATATGATTTACCCTAATTATAGTTTTCATTTTTAAATGTAATAGTACAGGCTGTGCGACGCAAAATAACTTCATATTAAAAACATAAACTTGCTGTATTTTTTGAACGGGATAAATCGGGTAAAAGTATATTTTAAAAAAGAAGTACTTTAGAAAAAAATGATTCGTGGCAAATTATTGAAAAATATCAAACAGGTGGGAAAAACCGGTTTATTGAAAAAAAACCAGGAAAAACAATTTTAATAGAAAAACAAAACATAGGTTGCAGTTTGAGAAAAGAAGAAAATGCTACGTCAATTAAAAATTGCATTCTTTTCGATAAGAGGTCTCCTACAACCTTTGCATAAGTATAAATCTCCCAGATGCATTACAGAGCTGTTTATTTACAAAAAAGAAAAAAAAAATTAGGAGATGAGCGTGTTCTCTCGTAAAGTTTCTAACGAAATTGACTTCAGCAACTCTCAATTTCTTCGTTTTTTCTTACAACATATCCTCCTTTTTTTGTTTTTACATTAAAATGGTTTTTCCCTGTTTTTCTTTCAATAAACCGGTTTTACGCAACTGAGTTTTTTTACGAACCGATTTTTTCACAAAGTATTTTTTTAAAGAAACTAATACTTTTCCCGAGTCATCACGTTGAAAAACATTCTTAGCCTGTACTACAGGTACAATTATATTTCTAATTAATCTAGAAACCACCTAGCTTAATATGTCGTTAGTATTAAACGTAATGCAAGGCGATGAAATGCATTAAGAAAATGAAAACAATTATGTTCCAGGGAGCAAATATCTTTACTACTAGAACATAACAAAAATAATAAAATTGAAACATCAATAATTTTACCTTCTTTCTAAGGAGAGGCCTTTGTCCAGCAGTGGACTATTAAAGGCTGTTGATGTGATGTGTGATGTGATCAATAATTTAATTGTTTCCTTTTCAGTGATTTCAGAAATGATGTACAATTATGTTGCTGTGGTGTTTGTCACTGTTGTGCAAGCAGACAAATGGCCTGATCCGAAGAGTGATCCATTAATATATATCGCAAACCCTATTGAAGCTAATATGCCAGGACACTGGGTGCCTGGCAGTATTGTGAAAGCTATTTTAGAAGGAGCGATTACATTTACACATCATACCACAACCAAAACTAAACCGACCTTGTCTTGGATTACGTATGCAGTGACCAAAGAAGATTTAAAATACCGTGAAAAAATGAAACAAACGCAGACGCCTAATAGTAAAAAAGAAAAGGTGAAAACAGATCAGAGTGAGAACTCTGAAAGTAACGCCACCTCTGGTAACAGTACATCGCAGGAAACTGAAGAACAAACAGATCTGGAATCAGATGAAAAATCTACACCAGCAACAGAATCTACACCAAAACCGGAATCCACACCAGAACCGGAATCCACACCAGAACCGGAATCCACACCAGAACCGGAATCCTCACCAGAACCGGAATCCACACCAGAACCAGAAGCTGCACCGGAACCGGCATCCGCACCAGAACCGGAATCCACACCAGAACCGGAATCCACACCAGAACCAGAATCTACACCAGAACCGGAAACAGAATCTACGCCAGAACCCGAAACCGAGCCCACCACTACAACAACTCGTCGACGCACTAAACGGAGGCGTGAGGACAAAGGACAAAACGTGAACGGACGACAAGGGCCGATATGATATTGTGCTGTTACAAATATAACCTACGACAACGGTTCTATACGAATCTGACTTTATATAATTATATATATTATGTATAGATGTATATATAGAGGTTATGTTGTAGAGGTATGGTTATGTAGGGTTTAGGTTATATGTATATGTAGAGGTTATATGAGCTATATTAGACTTTTTTATTATTAGTAGTTACAAACGCCTTCCGCAATTCAAGTCCTCTAAATATTTCTGCAAAACTTTTGGGATCGCTTACACTAGAAACACCACACCAGGACGTATGTTCATTTTATCTGTATTCTGCCAAAAACCTCACAATTTACCTCTTGTGTGCCTTTCAGCAAGAGCATCCATTTTTATTCGCTTCTAGTGGGTTTTACACCATCTTAAGCGTGAGTTAAAGACTTACCTGCTTTTACTCATCGTATTGTACATTATGCCCTCTCCTGGTTCACCCCAAGAAACCTAGTTCTGGAAAACCGATAAGTCTAAGTCTTGTTACATGCGAGCTCATTCTTACAAAGAGCAACTACAATTTTGTCATACAATTTGTCTGTAACATAATTTTGATTGGGTTTATGGGTCATACGACAAATCTTCTAATTTCAATCGTTTATTACACTCATTTGTATAAATGCTATCTTTTGTTCATTTCTGCTATTCCATACGATGTCTTGCGGTGACAAATATCCTATACCGGTGCTGGAATGTCTAATTTCACTTTGTAAATAATGGAAATACCATTGTACAAAATATAATAATTCGTCAGAATATAGTAATATGGAGAGTCATGTTTCGGCACAAATAGGATGGCACGGCCCCCTAATTATAGGGCGCCAACGCACTTGTGACTCTTAGGCCGTTTTTGCCTTGTCGGTGCGGCAGCGGCGCGGGATCTGTAAGCTCTGTCCGAAATCCGAAACGGTACCTCGTTACCTTCATTGATGAGGATATTTTGGAGTGTTATTATGTTCATCGCCTACGTACGTGGTTTGATAATAGATAAAAAAATTGAATTGGAAGGAATATAGTAATACTCTTAGTTATAAATTAAGTAGGTCTTCTTACGCTCTGTATAAACTTGCTCCAACCGTGAATGTTGATACCTTACTTGCTGCACATAACGGATTAGTGGCCTCCATATTAAGATTCGGAATAATTTTTTGAGGCAATTCAACTGATAAATCTTCAATATTTAAGGTTCATAAACATATTTTAGAAATGTGTCCCTTTGTGAAAAATAATCCAACATCTTTCCCAAGATTATCTGATACAGTTCAGCGTAACAGACGAGACAATGAACGACTACGTATGCACAGCACCAAAACTGCTCATTTGGCTAATAGTGTAATCTGCATGGCACACAAAATATGTATATAATAAAGTATGAAAACAGTTTAAATCACTGAATTTGTTTAGAAGCAGAGTTTGGGAAATGTTGATTAAGAATTGCTATTATAATATTAATTACTACTTAAACGATAACTCTTAATTAATTAATTTTACAATGATTTATCTTTAGCTATAACTATTTATCTTGACATACAGTTTATAATTTTTTAATTTTGAGATTTCTATAACAATCATACCTAGCTCATATAATTATATTGTTGTGTAAATGATTTTTGTGTTATTCCTGAAATTAATTTAATTTCTATTGTCAAAATATACCTTCAATCAATTTATATATGTGCGCTGTCCATGGCAAAACATGTTGATACACAATAACTAACCTTTAGGATTAATTTCCTGTAAACTACACATGTTTGAAGCAAATAAATATTTATTATTATTAAGTAATTTGGTGTCATCCTTATATCGAAAATAATATTCATTGTCGACTGTTTGTTTCTTTCACTTTCTCACTCAAAAACTTTCCTAGAAAGACGAATTTCTTTTATTGATGTCTAGAACGTCAAAAAAACTCTGTGATCCATCCCATCCTTTCTTCAAAATTCAGCCAGTATATAATGATACAATGCAGGCTATTTTTCAATTTCCAATACTAAAATGACGTGAATAACTCGGTGAATACCAGGTGTCACTGTAGTCACTTTGCCCTCCTATTACATTAATAGTTTAAGTTTTACGCAAAAATAGTACCTAATACGTTTGAATTGTACTGTCAGATGAAAATATTTCAGTTTCTTATATCTCTAATAGGAGCATGTATGTATGTAAAATCGACAAAAAAAAAAAACGATCTTATGAAACAGAAACCAACTGTACCAAAAATTCTGTACCAACTCGATTGGCCATCTTAGTATAGTAGGCTAAAACCTCCTTTCTAAGGAGAGGCTATGTCTAGAAGTGGACCGTTAAAAGCTGTTTGAGATAATGATAGCATATCTGTCGAAATTTTGTCTATTTAGCATGACCAATGACTCCAGGGTTAAAGAAAGATAATAACAATACACTTTTTTTTTAATACAAGTACCGCACAAGGAATACATCCTATATCGGGGTTCCCTCTATCTGGCAGAGTCTTGATACTCCGAAATTTATTTTGTGTAACACACTTGGCAGACTTCTTTTAACGAATATTTTTAAAGCATAAAAATTATTTAATACAATTCAATGTCAGAATTTACAATGGCATACTTTTGAGATGGCATAATTTTATTTAGCATAATTACCTTTGGCAGAGTTAAAATTCCGCTTAATTTCGTTTAGCATAACGTTTATTTAGATCGACGACGATTATTTAGTACAATTTCATTTGGATTAATTTTATTAGGCATATTGAAATAAAATAGTATTTTTACTTTAAATTAAAATATTATCGTAAAAAGTCATTATGTCTTGCTACAAAAGTTTGTGACAGAAACGAATGCTCCAAAACCGACTCCACGTAGTCATGTTTGCCCCACCGCTAGAGAGTAATTTAAGCTAGCGTAGGCACGAAGGGGCGAGGCGGGCCGCGAGCTGAGGTTCGGCTTTGGCTTGTATAAAGGCTTTCGGCTTAATATATGTGTAGATATGTAAATGTTAAAATAACCATTGTTGTGAGCTATATTGAAATCATGGCCTCGTACATCCTGCTTATCTTCTGACGGTTTGAAAAAAGTTAGTCAAGTTATACATAACTGGTTTTGAACTGTGAGTTTAACAAGTGCTGGTCGTGCTTCGGCACATAATTGGGACAGGCTGCACCGGCCTCGGAATTAAGCACTTACTTACCATCAGGAGCTGTATCTGTTCGTTTGCTCCCCTACTTTAGGATTTTGGAACCAACATATAGTTCGTAAAATTCGTAAGGTCTTGTAGAAGCTCTATTTCGTTTGGGTTTGGGTATACGGCCATTCTCCGTTCTAAGAAGAGGCCTATGTCTAGCAGTGGACTATTAAAGGCTGTTGATGTTGATGACCCACTACTCTTTTTTACGACTATAACAAACAGTGTACATTCATGCTGGCATTGTAATGTATGTAGGTGTTACATTGCGCCTATAACTTTATACTTAGCAATACGCAAACGAGTAACTTATTTTTTTATAATTTTAACAGACTTCCAAAAAGGAGTAGGTACTTTTTAGAGATGTCGCCAGTATGTATTTTTTTGTCATGTTCTTCTAAATTTCAGTTAGCTATATACTGATACAAAAAATATGGTAAGGTAATGGTAAGGATGAAATGGTATGCCTATTGTTATCAGTTCTGGATCTGAGGCAGGAAACCCTGAAATGTAGGCCACAATTGTGTTTTTAACAAAGGAGGGGATTATTGATTTTGTAGCAGTGTTTTAAATGTTTTCGTTAGAACTTCGTAATTTATAGACGGATTTCAAAAATCCTTTTTTATTAGAGTATGTTTACTTGCTGTTTCTTCCCATTCACATTTTTAGAAGAAATACCCTGTATGAAGAATACAGAACTCAAAGCAACTGCTTTAACAAAAATTAATTAATGCTTTGAACAAAATTTTAAATAGACAAGATTTTGAGGATAAAATTGGGTGAATTTGTGCGAAACCCCACGGATCGACATTCACTACACCGGAACCAAACGTTAAGGTGGGATGTCTCGAACTCGAACCGACTAAATCCACACAGTGTCCCGTCATCAAATCTTTTACCAGGGACTTAGTTGTCAATAGATAAGCAAGCTATGTGATCCTCGTCAGACTTGGCTGTCTATGAGCCTCTTCAGTTACCTACCTAATGGATAGAGAAGTCACATTACAAAAAATCCTGGGTTTCAGTACTGAGAAATTGAAAGCTGGATTTTTTTATTGATCCCACAGAAGGACTTTTAGGGGAATAAGTTATTAAATTAACAAGAATTACTGCTGGACCTGTTGAATTTATTTTCATAGACATCTGGACAGATTGCCTGAAAATCCCATTACGATTTAGAAGTCATGTAAGATGTATCGAGGTCGATGAGAGGAACGCATTATGGTAGATTACTGATGGATCATAATCAGAGAGTGTTTCAAAGACGCATGCAAAAGACGCTAAAAAAAGAAAAAATTCTCAATGTAGAATAAAATAAAATATAATTTAATAAAACGTGTTATTTCGGTATATGCTACCTATTTCACAAAAATTACACGCAGTGGTATAAAATATACTTGAATTTGAATCTGTATGACAAATTCTAGATCTAGAATCACACGTGTGTGTGTGTGTGTGTGTAAAGTAAAGTATAGGTACGTATAGTCCTGCGAATATAGTAAATTATGGTTTATAATAAAACAATCTCTGACGCGCAGTTACCTTTCATTTTACGATATTTGATAGAAAATAAAAGTAACAGCTGCCATAACAATAAACCGCTAAACCATTTCGATACACACTTCTTTAACGAAATGTGCCTCAAACATTTTATTACATTTAAGGTGAGAAAATAATTTAAAGTGTAAGCTATTCCACTTATATTTCCTTCTATACTTATATCGTTATATTGTCAGGATCCGCTTTAACTTTTCTCTAAAAATATATGTATATAAGTAGATAATTATGAATATATACATATATAAGTATACGATAATAATATATATACTGTATGCCTTTCCAAAATAACGGATTACTGTTCCTGACACTAAGAGTTTAGCCACGGACGAACGGAGGGCTTATTAGCACTAAGATTTTGTTTATGCATACCTAGGTACTTTTTTTTACTTCCTCATTTCCTCTATTTTAGGCGCAGTATGGCATTCTGTGTGATTTTTAGTCGATCCGATTCTACTCTCTACCCTATCGAAAACCCAGGTAGGGTGATGGTCCGAGGGGGTTTCCACAAGTACCAAAAAGCGTTGAAAAACGCATGAAAACTGTAGGCCAATTCTTGTAATAAAAGTGCGATCATAATTCTTTTTCGATCAACTCTCGATCTCACAACTGTCACAAAAGGTATTTTAACACACACTGAGTACACTGAGTTTTAAAAATATCATTATACAGCCAAAATTTTAAAATTACTTGCACAAAGTAATTAAGAAAAATTGGAGTTTTATTGGTTGCCTTGGAATTTAACATATTCCCACACTTTCAAAAGTCGATCATTTGGTAGTTAATGGCAACACAATTCTGGGTTGAATCCTTTTTGGCCATCCACCACATAATATATTGCGAAGCGCAGAGAACGTTTTGGTTCACTTAAAGCGTAAATTATATTATATGTTTTGTTTTTGTTGTATTAGCAGTACTGCCTAATTGAGCTTGTACCTATAGTAAAAAAAATCAACGAATGGAGGGCGGCTACTTTTGAATGTTGCGTCACCAAATATTTTATTAGTTTGCTCAATTTTAACTCTATCTTCTTGAGAACACCAAAATTGTTGTCTTCTTAATAATATTAGCTATTGTCCGCGGCTTCGCTCCCATGATTATTTTTTAAATCGTGTTTTTGACTTCTTAAATGACTATTTACCCTACAACTGTTATATTGTTGCGGTGAAATTTCTAAAATTGTTTCAAAGTAGCTTATAACATAAAAAGCCTCAGCGGTTTAGACTCTGTGTTGATGATATAGTCAGTCAGGGCAAGTAATTTTGTGTCTATCATGTATATAATCTGCCAAAACTAAATTTCAGTGATAGAATAGAACCTGTACTTCATGAAATTCTTTAAATTTTTCGTTACGTAAAAAAAAGGGTGTGGCAAGTGTACCGCCTTGCCCTACTGTGGGTACACCCATGATTGCTACCCAGGTCAAGTAATGAGCATAATCATATTATGTTCTGTGTCTGAGTGTATTTTTTCTATAATATGTATGTATTCAGAAATGTATAATTATGTTTGTCTGCAGTCCGACTACTATAGCACACGCTCTGCCTAGTTTAGTGTCAGACGACCTGGTGTGTTTATTCATGTATGATGTTTCCTTTTCAGTAATTCTAGAAATGATGTACAATTATTTTATCTTGATACTTGTCACTGCCGTTCAAGCAGACAAATGGCCCGATCCGAAGAATGATCCATTAATATTTATCGCAAACCCTGTTGAAGCTAATATGCCCGGACACTGGGTGCCTGGCAGTGTTGTAAAAGCTATATTGGAAGGAGCGACTCCATTTGATAGTGTGAAACCTCAAACCACCAGCGCCAGCACCATATCTTGGATTACGTATCCAGTGACCAAAGATAAGTTAAAACAGACCGTAAAACCAAAATCAACTGAAAAAACTGAGGAAAGTGAGACCTCAGGAGAGCCCGAAAGCAAGGCCAACTCTGAAGAAAACCAATCGCAAACGGAGCCAAAAGAACCAGAATCTACGCTAGAATCTGAACCAAAATTTGCACCAGAGTCTGCACCAGAACCTGAACCAGAACCAGAACAGGAATCTGCACCAGAACCAGAACCAGAATCTGCACCAGAACCTGAACCAGAATCTACACCAGAACCTACACCAGAGTCTACACCGGAGCCTACACCAGAGCCTACATCAGAATCTACCTCAGAATCTACACCAGAACCTACACCGGAATCTACACAAAAACCTACACCGGAATCTACACCAGAACCCGTAACTTTAACTAAAAAACCACCTAAAAAAAGAGGAAAAAATAAAGACAAGGGCAATAATATAAATGCTTAAAAATATATCAAATGAAATTTTACTGTTGCAAGTATAATCTGAATAATTATTATGATGCTACTAGAAACACCAAATTACCAAAAATACTTAAATACACACTAAATATTCACAAACATTCAATTAATTTGAGTATACTATTTAATAGATGTAGCAAAACTAATTTACTATGTGATCATCTGTTATCTAAAAGTAAATCTAATCAGACCGTATCTTTTTAAGAGGTTATTGGGGAGGTCCTTTGCAACCATTTTCGCCCCATATTGTTTTATCCAAAGTTGATAGATTTCGTAATAATTTAATGTTTATGTTTTTCTTAGAAACCCCAGTTTTATTCCTGTGAAAATTCATAAAAAAAAACTCTGCTAATTTTGTTTGCAGTTTTAAAGAAAGTTCTAATTCCGGTTCTTCATCGTAAATTATAAAATCATAACAATCTGTATCTGTTTTCTCCAAGAAAAGGGCTAGTAAATTTTGTTTCCTAATTATTTAAAAACATCTACACATTCGTACCTATCCAAAAGGTAAATAAAACTGGCCTTGGTTACGAAATTGAAGAATAAACGTAGTAACAAAGGACTTAGGTAAAAAATTCCAGGAATGTGATTAGTCTGTGTGTTTGGTCTGCTCGTGCGAAACTGATAGTGTTCAGTAACGACGAAGCCATTCTGGCTGACCGCAAATGGTAAATTTGCGGTCTGCGTTTAAAGGAAGAAGAAGACTTCTTAGACACTGAAGCTGATCCAACCACCTGCTGATACATGTGTAACGCAGACACAGAGGACCCCACTTACTTTAAAAAATGTTGTAGACAGATGAGACAGTTTGACCGAGACGGCATTTCAAAATATCACAATACTCACGTCTTAAAGAAAAGGTTCGTCAAACAAGAAAAGGTTACTAGGGTCTAAAGGCTACTTTCTAACCGATAACTTAAATGGCGAAGCCTATGAAAGCTTATTTTTAGCTTTCTTTGCTTCTCTTGTTTTATTTTCCTAAATTAAATTCATAGCCTCAGTCTAAGATTTAACTGCGTGGTTTTCGTTTTATCACATTAATTCTTGAATTACGTAGATAAGAGCACTTTTATTTACGTTTTTGTATAGATACATTATGTGCAGATGTTTTTTAAATAATTTGCAGACAAAATTCACTAGCTTTTATTTGAGAAAACATATATTTTTGTAGATAGTTTTACGAAAATTCTGATTTATTTTTACGATACGACCTGTACTTCCTGTATGGATACAGATTATTATGATTTTATAATTTCCTATTAAGGGCCGGTATGTCAACTCTTTAAAACTGCAAACATAATTAGAATCCGACCAGAGATTTTTTCAAATTAATTTTTAAAGGAATAGAACTGCATTTTCTATGAAAAACATAAAAAATCAGTCATTGAAATCATGAACTTTTGTATATTGCAATGTGGGGTCAACATGGTCGATAAGGACCTCTCCTATGCCCTCTTGAAAGGATCCGGTCTAACTATCTATAACCCTGTATATATGTATATGCTCTGGTTAATTTGATGAGTTTTAATAATTTTGTGTGCAAGTCAGTATTTTTGTTTTACACTAAATGGTAATAACACTCTTTTCAAGGTCGTGACCTGGTTCAACGTTAATCAATTTAAACGAGAAAAAAACTAAATCATATTATATTTTTTACACCTAATGTACAGGAGGTATGTGTAAAACCAGTGTTCTGATAAATGGAAAGGAGTTGGATCTTGTGGACATCACTAAGTTTTTGGTTATAACTCTAGACTCCAGTGGGGCCCACACTGCTGTAGAGCTCAGCTCTGCAGCATACGAGGTTCCTAAAATTCGTCGTATAAGTTTAAAGAAATTGGTATTATGACAGTCGCATCCCAATATATTTATGAAAATTTAGTGTATGTAAAGGGAAGCTGTTGGATGCATGCAGATGCATAGATTGATGCTGCTCACTGCCGCATTTACGTTAGTATCATGGTTGTTAAATTTGAAAGTGATGAACATTTAATTTTTTTTTGTAATTCGTATTGCGTTTGTATTCAATTTATTCACTTTTAAATTATTAATTATTATAATATTTTTTTGGGTAAGTATGCTAATGTGAGTATAGTGTAGGCTTGTAATGTTAGTTCATATTTTAGTAACATTCTGGTGGTTTTAAGTGTTTCCACGGCCCACTCAAGTGTCCTGCAGGCGGTAGTGTCGCGTTCCGGGTTGTTGATCCTGACTAAATCGGTTAGGCTACACGATGGCTCCGGTCCGTATGCCTCAAAACTACGGTGTAATTAAATTTGCAAATCTATCTACTTTTATTTGAAACCAACCAACCTCTCTGGCGAGGAGCAGAGGCCTATGTCCAGCAGTGGTCTGCGATAGCCTGATCGTGATGATGAATATGGATGGTTATAAATGGATATATATGGTATTTACCGCCGCCACCAGAAGACCGCCCTTCCTCACTCACTAGTTGAAAAGGAACGAAAGAACTTTTCAACATCGGTGGTCTCTGAGACCGTGGTACCACTCCGGTCGAGCCAGCATTTGTGCCGAAGCATGAGTACGATAATCTCCCTAGAATTTTTGGAAGAATAATGATTATTTATTTTGTTTGAGATAAAGCGGACGAAAAGTCTATCAATATTAGATCGACTTCGGTTTTTATTTTTATAAAACTGATTAGGTAATGTATTAAAAAATACAACTGAATTTCTATTATTATTGTCAATTACTGTTAACTGTTTTTGTATTATATTCGAAAAGTTATATTTCAAAAATCTTACTATAGAAGTGCTTAATATAAAACAATAATATATAGCAATAAGGTCCATATTCACAAAATGTTGCATTAATACAAACAAACACTTTTTTAATTATTTGTTGGGATTAATTTTGATTAGATCAATTTCTTTATTATTAAAATCAATATTTATTAATTTTTGAGTTTCCTTTTACTTTTATTAGTTTACGAGTACTTTACTTTACTTTAAAAAGACAACTCGCGCACTAGGAATATATCTTGTGTCGCGGGGGACTTTACGAACATACATGGTAACGGACACAAAGAACACCCAGACTAAGAACAACAATTTGAAGATCACACAAAGTGTTGTCCTGTGTAGGGATCGGAGACACAACACTCAGCGCAGTAAGAGGGGCGAGGTGCTACGCCATCCGTACAGTTTAAGGTTATATTTAAAAAAAGGATAAATATTACAAACTTGTCCTTGGACCTCAAGGCAGTGCATGTACAAAGGTAGAAAAAGAGGAAAAAATATAGAAGGTATGACAGTAACTGTTGTGCATTATTGATACAGTCATTAACAGATTTTTACACAAGAAAGGCTCCGAACTACATGAAATTGTAAAAGTAACCTGAGGAACGTCGATGCTTAAAGCTGCAATAGCTTCTAAATACTCGCGCATTTTCCTACATGTACTCAGTATTATAACAAAAATATGTCAGCAAAGGATGTATTAATGCTTATTTAAAAAAAGGAATAACGGCTTTAGACCGTTATGAATATGGACTGACAATTGACTTTTGATTGATTGGAAAAGTAGGTGTTTCTTGTTTGTGGATAAAATCATAAGCCTTGTAAATTTATTGATTATTGTTCCTCAATTGTAAAATTCGTAGCAATTCAACATGATAAACACCTTAACCGTGACTCTTACAGTACGTAAAGAATTATCAAATCGCAAGCTGTCAAGCGCCCGTTTCCGAACGTAATGTTAAAGTATTTTCACTGTGGACAAACCGGCCTCGAATAAACTAATATGAATGAAAAACCATCATGCAAATTCAACTAGCACTAGCAAGGATTATGTGAAACCGGATATTCGAAATATTGTCTGTGCATATTGTAAGAAAAAGGCTCATCATATTAAAGGCTGTTTCGTAAAACAACGTTCTGATCATAAGGACCAATGTAAATTTCCATCATATTACATTGTCACAAAATATTTATATTCTAATTTCTCTTTCGAAATTTTAGAAAAGATAAACATTATTATTGGGTATAGTAGGCCCAAAACCTTCTTTCTAAGGAGAGGCCTTTGCCAGCAGTGGAATATTAAAGGCTGTTGATGTGTGATGTGAAACATTATACTGCTAAGGAATTAAAATTATAATAACTATTATTAATTTAATTAGCTAATTTAACATATTCTAAATAAAATTATTTGAATATATTAAACAAAATCACTTCTAAACTTTAAATAACTAAAAAAAACGAAATCACCAAATGAAAATTTATGTTAATATTAAGATCGTTTGAAGACCGATAACAATACAATAATTTGAAAAAAAATCTGGTTACCCTGATCAGGGTCTTGAGTATTAACGGCCTTTTGTCTACCTAAAAATACGGTAGTGTCCTTTGCTACATACTAAGAGGAGTGTGCTGAAGCATATGTGGCTTATTTAATTGTTCCTGTTTTAGTCTTAATAAAAAATAGTCATCATTAATGACTAAAAAAACAAGAATAAATTTTAGCAAAAAGTAAGAAAAACAAAAGAAACACGCTTTTATAACAAGCCGAACTAAAAAGTAGAAAACAATTTTCTATAAGTTCAAAAAGAAAAATCTTTTTATCTAGTAATATTTCATTTTAATAATAATAACTTTTACCGATATCTGTCAATAAAATATTTTTACAATAATTGAGATCGAGCAACCTCATTTTTACGATAAAATGATTTTACTTTTTGAACTTATAGATAGGTAGATAGGTACTCTTTATTGCACACCATAGATAGGTAATATGCAATGCAGAATACATTATAATATTTGAAACAAAATAACGCAGCACGTACTGCGGCTCGAACATAAAAGCATAAACCGATGCCGGGCGAAATGTAACACGGGAAATCCCCGAACTGAAATCGTTAACATCATGATAACTACCACGCAAGAAAGTGCAAGTGTAACGCGCGAAATTCAAGTAAACATATTTTTGCGGTGTTGCGAGTTAGCATGAGGCCTCTTTATGAGTGAGGCCCCGGGCGGTTGCCATGCTCGCCACCCGCAAAAGCCGCCCCTGATCTCAAGTATCGTGTATGTGTGTCATGGATAAATCCGAATCATTTCTTTAAGTAGTAAGTATTCCGAAGGCGAAGCCGAGTTGGGAGTCACTTGAGTTTTTACTAAATTCGGATATATGATCATATTTACTCAAGCCGAAAATCTAATACCTTAAAAGAGTAGTTCTTGTATATATATATATATATATTATAATCTGAATCTCGGAAACGGCTCCTACGATTTTCATGAAATTTAGTATGAATAGGATTTTGGGGGCGATTAACCGATCTAGTTAGGTTTAATTTTTGGAAATCTGACCAAAAAAAGCCAAGAATCTTAGACAGAAATTCTGAAGTTTCTCAAGTTTATGAAATGGGTCCTCGTTCAGATCAAGACAGCTGACATCGGTATATTCGAGGATGGGTAGAAGAATTGATTGTGCAAGCTCAATTTTAGTGGCAGTGGGAAGGAAATTACGAGATCTTCTCAGACAACCGACAGGGGCAATAAGAGGGAGCTGTTTATCCCAAATTTTTTGACGTTATTGCTAATTGGAATTGTTACGCTTTCACTACTTGTGGTAGTGCAAGCCAGTCAACCTTTGCGATAAGTCTGGAGCTGCCGATTATCGTGACTTGCGTTTTACTAAGGTTAACTTTAAGTCCAACATAGTTGTCCACCGACATATGTTGCTCAGATCTCTATTAATGGCATCAATAGCTAGGGGTATGTCATTAAGATTTAAATATTATAGAAAATTATATAGGTAGGCTAGTTTTAAAAGCGTTTTAGTTTTTTTAAAGTATAATTTATTAAGAACAAATTCTTTGAACCTAAACTTTAATTAAAAAATAACGTGCTATGCAATTTGGCTTTCAATTAGGTAAATCAACTGAAGATGCTTTATTTAAATTAATTGAAAACATAGTGTCTTGGACAGTTAAAAGAAATTTCTGACGATATTTCTTGACCATGCTAAAGCCACGCAGAACAGATCAGTTATTCTGCAAACTCCAAAATAATAAAAAAAAAAAAAAAAAATATTTATTTATTTATTTACACCATACTATACATTATTATTACAGCTAGACCAATACAATAATGCAAGACAAAACAAAGAAATCTATGAAAAAATACGTAAAAAATAATAATCATTAAGATCTAGAACTACTCAGTACGCAATATATGGCCTTTGTGAACTCATTGAGCGAACACGAAAAAACGTCAACATGATCCGACAGTTCTGACACCGCATTTAGCGCACGCAGCGCGCGCGTAAACGGCGTCCGATGCAGCAGATTGGTGCGCGCGGGAGGCACCGCAAGCAAGCGAGGGCACCTCCGCCGTGTCACGTAACCGTTAGGCACACAAAGTGAGATCTCCTGTAGGATAGCTGGGTTGTGTATCAATCCACGTAACACTTTAAATACGTACGTGGCTAAAGCTACTTCTCTCCTCACTTCCAGCCTGTAATATCCCACCATGCCCAAATGGTAAACTATATACTACTATGCACTGTATCAGACTGCAATTACTTGCTGTATTGTAGTTTGGTGTGCTGCTGCAAAACCATAAAATTTTATAGCTGAAACTATGCAAAGATACGTTTATCAGGCCTGTAATATATTCGACTGCAGAGTTGTACCTATAGGGAGTGTAAAGTGCTCTCAGTGCGAAAACAATTGCTTTCCTTTCCTGATGTCCCTTTGATGTTATTATCCTAACGCATCTGTGGTCTTCTCGAGGGACGTTTTGACCCCAAGGTTACCACTAGAACCGCTTGCTCTAAGAATTGATCTTGCGTGCCAATTGACCCGCTCATTTCCACTTAAGTCTGACCCTATTCTGTTGTCTCAGCCACTCAATGGTATTACGGTCTTTCAACTAGACTCAAACCAGTGTTCTCTCTAGTGAGCGCTGGGTCACGCTTAGCTTATACAGTATATCTTTATTGAAAACCCAGGAAATACCTTTAGTGAGAACCGTCAGGATTCATTAGTCAAATTTGTGTGCTTTTTATTCCGCTTTTCAGGATTCATTTTAAAGGTAAACTCGACTGACTATGACTTTGTCATATCTCTGCTTTTGTCCAAATTCATTTACAGGTCACATTGGATAGACGCATCGCTGAGTTCTTAGATCATGCATTGTAGTTCATCTGGGTATTTTCCAGTAAAACGATGCCATCAGCAATACGCAAATTATTTAAGCGATAAATCGTGGCTGCTATAGCAAAGAAAAATTAAAACCTTACCATCAGGATTTAAAGGTCATGGAAGATAGGTATCGAAGTGAATGGAATGAAAGCATTATAGCAGATTACTGCTGGATCATCACTGGAGAGTGATTTAAAGACGTTTTTTTTACAGAAAACAGGTTTTTTAATATAAAATAAAAATAAAATAAAATTTCTGCCATTTCGGTAAATCACAAAAAACTTCACGCAGCAGTAAAAATATAACTTTGAATCTAAGCATAGGAACCTAGAGTCCTACGAATATTGTAAGTCATGTTTAATAATAAAACAATGTCTAACGCGCAGTTACCTTTCATTTTACGACATTTGATGGAAAATAAAATAAAAGTAACAGCCATAACAATGAATCACTAAATCATTTCGATCCACACTTCTTTAACGGAATATGCCTGAAACATTTTATTACATTTAAGGTGGGAAAATAATTTAAATTGTAAGCCATTCCACTTATATTTCTTAAAAAGTGAAAACTTCTTTTGCGTTTCGTTTCAATTTCTGATAATATTGTAGGATAAATTTATTAAACATATATTATATACAGGATTACTGGGTAAGTGGTTAGGTTTGAGATATGACCTTTCATAGTAAAATCTATCAGAAATGATGACTACTATAACACCTTAAAGTAACTAGGTCGACATACCCAGTTACCCTGTAAATATTTTATTCTGTCTGATTGCCTCGGTGGTGCAGTGAGAGTGTGCCGAGAATTTCGAAAATACATGTTTTTGTGCGTTTACATTGCAAACGGACGGATCTAAAACTTACGAGATAGACAAAAATAATGTACTACGGCATTGTATGTCTTAAAAAGATCTACAAAGAAGTCTATGGTAAATGTTTGTTTCCTAAGGATAACCCACAGTAACCATTTTTATCTTTTAAATATTACAAAACAATAACCTTATTAAAATAAACGTTTGATACGTTGTGCATGTAATGTAGATCAAAATTGCCTTGCTGGGCCTTGTTTTGCTTTTACAGCATATCATTAAAGTAAATAACTTAGTAGATATTAAATAGCATAACCCGGCCCTCGCTGTCGCCGCGGCACTACCGTACGTCCGTCCCGGGCGACAGCGGCAAGCAGGAACGAAGCGTATAATTATTATATGTATATAATTATTATATGTTGCATAATAATAAATAGATGTCTTGTAGTATAGTCTTATCATAATAATAGCATAATAATCGCTAGTTCTTTTTCGGTGATTCGATGAACGGTCGGTTTATTGGCACAACATACACTTTTATCCCTAGGAACTTATTCTTTACGCTAATGTAACATATAACATGTAAAGTGTAAAAAAATAAATAAGACACTTGCAAATTTACAAAATTAGTTTGATTTAGGTTAGAGATAGAACAGACAAGAAAACTAGCTTACGAAAACGTAATGTGTTGGTCAAATGAAACAATGTTTCAGGAACCGAAAATCTATACTACTAGAACAAAACAAAAATAATTAAATTGTCTTCAAAAGTCTAAGTGAGGAGGCCACTTTTGAAACATCAATAATTTAATTGTTTCCTTTTTAATTATTCCAGAAAAATGTACGAATATTTTGCTTTGGTATTTGTCACTGTCGTGCAAGCAGACAAATGGCCTGATCCGAAGAATGATCCGTTAATATTTATCGCAAACCCTATTGAAGCTAATATGCCCGGACACTGGGTGCCTGGCAGTATAGTAAAAGCTATTTTGGTAGGATCGCCTAAAGTCGCAAATATGGCACCTAACACCACGATTAAAACCTTAACTAAAACCACAACTAAAACCACAGCTAAAACCACAACTAAAACCACAACTAAATCCACAACTAAAACCACAACGACTTTAACTTGGTTCACGCATGCACTGCAAGGGTTAAAATATAAAGAAAATTCAACGAAGCAATCAACTGTGAAAAAAGATAATAGTGAGAGCTTTTCAGAGTCTGGAAGTAAGGCCACCTCTGTAGAAAATAAATCGAACAAGAAGTCTGAAGAACAAACAGAAGTAGAACCAGAATCAACACCAGAACCTGAACCAGAATCTACACCCGAACCAGAAGTTACACCAGAACCAGATTCTACACCCGAACCAGAAGTTACACCAGAACCAGATTCTACACCAGAACCAGAAACAGAATCTACCCCAGAACCAGAAACAGAATCTACCCCAGAACCAGAAACCGTACCTACAACTGCAACTCAACGTAGAACTACATTAAAGCGAAAGAAGAATGACAGGGGTAGTAATGTAAATGCAAAATGATAGTTTACTGTTACAAGTTTAAACTATCACAAGCCTTATGTACGTCTAGAATAACTTTATGTATACATACGTACATATGTAGGGATTAAACTATGTTAGACACTATTTTATTATTAGTCTTCCACAGTCCAAGGGTAAACAAAAATGTTCCCATTGCACAACACACATAATTTGCTGTAATAAAGAAGTTACTTGTACACGTACGTACATGTTTCGCCATAATGTGGAATAGTAGTTTAAGTTCAACGAATTTTTTTATCTCGCCAGTGTTAAAATAATGCACCCTAAGTTTGTAGGACATTGTCAGATAGATGATAGTGGCATTTCAGCCATTTCAGGTTCTTGTATTACCAATGTGCTATGCTTATCTCCTACTTGTGTCAATGCTGCGGCATTGTGAAATGGACGACATTTTACCGACATTATAAAAGTGTTCCGAAAAGTACCCTATTATACATTAAGCGTCACTACCAGGAAATATAATATCCTAGAATTTTATTTACTAAAATTAGACTAAAATTAGTCAGTACACTCGGACTTCCTCGTTAAAGCTAATTCAAGTTACAGGTGTACAGATGACTGGAAAGCCCAACTCCGCCAGGTCATCATAATTGAGTGGAAGGAACGACTCGTGCAAGCGAGCGCCGGCGGCAAGACCCGTTATGGAGGATTGGCTCGAGAGGCATCACGGGACCCTCTCATACCGACTGACGCAGGTGATCACTGGGAAAGGATGTTTCGGGGATCACCTGTGTCTGATCCGCAAGGAGCCAACGCCTGAGTGCCACCACTGCGATGGCCAGACCGTGGACACGGCTCTCCACACGCTGGCAGAGTGCCCGTCGTGGGTTGAGCAGAGGCGAGACCTCGTGGCGGCCATCGGAGTGGGAGTTCTCTCGCTCGATAGCCTAATTGCGGCTATCGTGCGGAGCGAGAGTGCGTGGAACTCTGCCGTCTCCTTCTGCGAGCAAGTTATGCTCGCGAAGGAGACGGCGGAGCGGGACCGGGAAAGGTTTAGAACTCTCCCGGCCTGCCAGGCCCGGGAACGGGCCAGGTACTCAGGACTCAGGAGTTCCGGAGGTCGCAGAACGTCCTCCGTCCTCCATAAGAGCAGGCCTGGGGGTGACAGGTGAGGCCATCTGTCACCCTAGCAGAAGCAGGCCGGGGTGGCGGCGAGCGCGTTGCGAAGCGCGTTCGCTCCCAGGGAGCAGAGGGAACATGGGGTTCCCACACAGGGGGGGTGGGTCGTCTACTCGTCTGTAGATGGCCCGAGGTATGTCGGGGCACCAGAGACTTCCTTTCTAGGGTATACCTGGTTCCCCACCCGAGACGGCGTGCGGTTTTAGTCGGTTCAAGTCCGACATGCCACCGATAGGTGGTATGCGTGGGGATTTCCGCACGTAAAAAAAAAAGGTGTGTAAATAGAAACAGTGTATGAGAACAGAATGTGTGTAGTTGTACGTCAGAGAGTATGTAGTAGTCATTTATTATCTGTTTGTAGTACATGTGCTTTAGTAAACCTATTTAGTGGCTTTTCATAGTTATGAAACCTTTATGACTACACAAATCTCATACTACACTAATCGCGATAATAACAACAAGTAATGGGATTGTGGTAGCTAATTCATCAGAGAAAGCAAACGAACATACGCAAAACTGTTCAAAGTTTTCTTTGATTAAAGCTGTATTATGTTCATTATAACTGTAAACAACTGTAACAAAATAAACGAGTTAGGTATCGCTGGACTTCGGCGGGAGTCAGATTCGAACCGCTCGTGCTGGATTAAACTGCACTAATCACAAGTTTTATCCATCGACCGTTACTACACTACTCCAGGCTGATTCGATCTAATTCCAGTTTTAGTGCATTTCATTTCACTCTGTACTGTTTGTGTATTGCGGTTTTTTTAAATGATTTTTCCTTTTGAACTTATATTTTAGAAAATTATTATTTCCTACTTTTTAGTTCAACTAGCTACAAAAACGTCTTGTTTTAGTTTTTTAAACTATAATTTTCTTTTTCTTTTTTAGTCATTAATGGATGATTGTTATCTTTTTAAAACTAAAAAGTACCAAGTAAGTTTATGCTTCAGCACACGCCTTACCGCCTACCTAAACCTAAAGGTCCTGTTCAGGATAATGAGACAAACTATTTAAATTATTGCATTGTCATCGATCCTTAATAAGTGTGCAAAGCGTGTTAATAAAAAGTTCCACACTTCACAATTCAAATTTATTGTGCAAATTGGGTAATAAGAATAATAGTATATACATTCAGTCTTTACATAAATCATAATTATTTATCGGTTAAAAGGACCGTTGTAGTTAGCCGTATCGAAATCATAATCTCGTAGACCCTTCAGCTCATCTTCTGACGGTGGGAAAACACAGTCAAGGTCAACATATAACTGGTTTTGAAGTGTGAGTTTCTCAACAATTTCGGCAAACGTTGGTCTATGTTCAGGATTTTCGGACCAACATTCAGTCATCAATTCGTAAAGTCTTGGAGAAGCTCTGTTTGGTTTGGGTAGACGGCCACCTTCTGACAAAAAAGGTGGTACTTGATAATTGCTTAACTCGGCATATGGGAAGCCACCTGTAATGTAAAAGTTAGCTTATTTAGAATAACATTAAATATTTTTATTTTATTAATTTACTAGATACTTATTAAAAAAACAAAATAATGTAACTACTTAAACTCGCTGTCGAGTTAATGCTCGAATAAGATAATTTTAAATTCTCAAGGGCAAGGCAAGGGTTTTGATTTCGACCCTGAGGTATGGCAGCTTTTATCGTCATTAGTGCACTGAGGCCTACTGCAAGTAGGACTAGTACCTTAATATTAAGTTTTATTCGACCTAAAAATTAACAGAAACACAAGACTAGTGTAGACGGGGTATCCTGCTCTTAAACTTAATTTTTTTAACTCGATTGGATCCCCTTTACTCTATTCAATTACGCATAGTGCTTATCAACTACGAATTGGAAAATTACATTGCAAAGTGTATTTATGTAACTAAACATTAAAAATATTAGTCATCACCATAATAATAATTTCACACCTCACACACCGCCGTCCAGTCCTAAACTAGGCAGAGCGTGTACTATGAGAACCAGACTGCTGATAGGCATAAATTAATATGAATTTCTAAAAACATAACTAGGCCCACAGGCTCGTCATTATATAGGTATACATGAGTTTTTTTTTAACGTAGCGCCGTTTTCATCGTCAATCTTTGGTATAGTCATATGTTTAATTTAATCTAGATATTGTTATTCACTAACCTAAGGTAGCGATCTCCCACAATAAGACTGCAAACGCCCAGACATCGCTGGCGCTACAGTATTGTGAATGTACTATTGCTTCAGGTGCTAGCCATCTTAGCGGAACTGGTCGTGATCTGGTGTGGACGTATATGCCTGACCGTGATAGACCAAAGTCTGCTACTTTCAGGAGACCAGCGCCATCGACTAAGATGTTCCGCGCTGCTAGATCTCTGAAATTAATCGATTTGACTGATTAATTTAGTTAAGGTAGCTCAATTGCCTTTAACAGAATCTGTTATCTGTTAACCATATACTCGTAAATAACATCGCGGTTTCAATGTTATTTACGAGTATCGAGTTATCGAGTACAAACTCATTGTTGCTTCAGAGTAGAATAGTAATTTATTCGTGGGAACTGTAATCAAAGCTCTTAGGTTAATCATACATACAGTAAGACGTGTTTCGCCTCGGATAAGGCAAGCAAATATTGCATTGGTTATACAGTTACAATTTTAACATCAATTAATCTTCTATCTGTCTATATCATAGGGTAAACTATCGCCAAAGAGGTCTAAAAATATTATTTAGTGATCCGTTTGCGTAATATAAAAGTTTTAGGTGTTAATTTTTATTAGTGTCAAGTGTAGCAAGCAATAAATTTGATTGGTTATTGATAAATCAATTTAATCAAGTCAAATTAAGCGTCCAAAACCTGGCTAAGTACTGGCCCACAGCTTTTCTGTCTGACTTGTTAGTAGCGATGATTGAATGTAGTCATTGGCGGATTTACATATGGCCGCAAGGCTACTACTACTCTACTCATATTAGTTAGATTTTATTGCCAATGATATTAGAGCTTTAAGTTTTATGCACTATCATCCTTAAACATTCCTTTTTATTTGAATATGATTTTATCAATTACCTCATCATCAATCAACAGCTTTAGTATACTAAACTAGACATAGGCCTCTCCTTAAAAAAGTGGGTTTGGCCCACCATACCACGCTGGCCAGACTCATATGTCGGCTCATATGACCCTCACGGGATGAATAGGGTTGGTGAATACGGATGTATCTTAATACGTATTCTAACTATTTACTAGATCATTGAAAATACAATTATTAGGTAATTGATAAAATCATACCCGTTTAAAAATAATAAGAACAGCAGCCTTGTTATATGATCTGTTAACAATCTAGTTGATAATGATAATGAAATCAATACAGTTATAAAAGTTGTATTATTATTATTTAGGTACATGTTTTACAGTGTGCTTTTTTAATTTCTGTTATACTAAAAAAAATACCTTCTATAAAATCTGCCACTTTTATCACAAGAACTGGCCTTCAGGCTGAGTAGTACTGTAACCACTACTAACTACACAATACATCGATCTCACAAAATATGAAAGTATTACTAAGACTAACAGATTACCGATACAATTTAGGGTTACACTATGATATAATCACATTACAGTCAACGTTAGATGATACTTTACTACGAAAATAACTTTTATAACAGTTGTGAGGTCGAAAGTTGGTCGGAACTGAATTGAGACCGAACTTTTATTAAGAGAATTGGCCTTCTGCTCTAAAATCCACCACTGAATGTGGTATGGACAGGATGACATTAAAAACTATGAAGCACTGTTCATAACAGGAACAACGCATGATCATTGAAAAATATTCTATCAAAGCTGTAAAAATGTACTGTTGCAATTTTAAGAAATTAATTTTCTTTGCACATTTGTTAGGCAGAAAACAAAGGCTGGGCTGTTTTGTGTACTGTTCGCTGTGTTGTGTTGTGCTTAGGCCAACGGGAGAATCACGTGGGTTTATTTAGGTATGTGCTATAAAACATGCATTTCATTTAATAATATTAACGAGAGTCGTAAAGTAAAGCGAAAGAAATTTATAGTAGGAAAAGCGGCCTTATAACTTTTAAGTAGGATTTAGTGGTACTAATCTAGTTGATTCTTCAACCTTGAGGTTTGTTTGCTCCTAGCAACGATTGCTAGGATACGGCTATGGCCGGGTATTCAGGAATAGACGTACTCGTCCTGCGCCGTGACAATGTTTTTATGCGATAAGAAAAAATGCTTCTTCTGAATGGATAACTGATAAAACATGTTGTAGGAATTGCTTCTCATATCTCATATTCTTCTCGCACAGAGATTAGGTCTGATGGAGTTGGAGATTTGTAGGAAAATTTATGACTGCACGGATGGCGTAGTGGTTTAAGCGGTTGCCACGCCGCTTACTACTACGCTAAGTGTTGTGGGTCCGATCCCCACATGGAACTGCACTTTGTGCGATCCACAAATTGTTGTTCTAAGTCTGGGTGTTCTTTGTGTCCGTTTCATGTATGTTTGTAAAGTTCCCCGCGACACAGGATTTACTTATTCCTAATGCGGGAGTTGTCTTTTTGAAAAAAGAACGACAAAAAAAAGAATTTAAAAAATATAATTTTTTTTGGTTATTTTTTTATTTTAGCTAATCAAAGTACCTACTGGTCCAAATTATCTACACAGTGTTGCCATTTTGATGGCAGTTTATTTATCTCTTTACTGTAGAAGTCTGCTAGACGGGCGGCGATGAAGTCAGCGAAAGCGTTTTGTACTGCATCGCGGATGTTCAATTTTTTTTCCACCTAAAAATTTTCTAAATTTGGAAAAAAGTTAAAATCTGTCAGTACGGTGGGTGACGGAGAGCTTCCAGCTGTAACTAATGTAGCGACAGTATGTCGTAAAGTGTGGTGTTGTCGTGGAGAAGCAATGGGGAAGAGCGACTGACCAGTCGTGTGTGTCATTGTTTGCAGCTTAGCTTTTTTATCTTACCGATTTGACGCAAGTCCTTCAAAGTTGTTTTGACACTAACGCCAAAGCCCGCAAGCTCAGCTATAGATTGAGTTGGATCCGCTTCCACTATCGCCTTAAGTGACCATCGGCGCCCATGAACGTCTGCGACTCAGGAGTCAAAAACGTGTTGCCAGCCTTTTAGAAAGGAGTACGCTCTTTTCTTGAAGGTTTGAAGGTCGTATCGGTCCGGAAATACCGCAGACGGTAACCCGTTCCACAGATTGGTTGTGCGGGTCAAAAAGTTTCTCGAAAAGTGCACAGTAGTGGAGAGATGACGAGGATGAAAATTTTGCCGTGTGGAACGATGGCAGAAAGTGTTTGTGCAAGCAGTGTTATTAACATTAACGACGTGTATGTACACGTCGGTCCTTTCGAGGTTCTTTTTGGTTGTGGTTTCCACGGCAGCGAATCGGTTTTCCAGTTATGACTGGAACGTTTCAGATCCTGTCCCCTAGATATGTCATCGTACATATCCTCCACCTCGTCGTCCGAGTGTGCCGAGGTCGGTGCGTACAATTGCAAAACCTTAAGGCTATACCCCTCGGTGAGCTAGATAATGAGGTAGGCTACCCTGTTCGACACACTTGAAATTTCCACAACTCGTCAGAAAGGGACTCCATCATCAGCCTATCGCAGTTCACTGCTGGACATAGGCCTCTCCCATTGCACGCCACTTAGATCGATTTTTGGCTTCTCGCATCCAGCTCCTGCCAGCCATCTTGCGCAAATCGTCACACCACCTGGCCTGTGGGCATCCTACACTGCGTTTGCCGAGACGCGGTCTCCACTCAAGAATTCGTTTTACCCAAGGGTTGTTGCTGATCCGGTAGACTATGTCGGTGACCTTGGTTCTCTGCCGGATAACCTCATTTCTGATGCGATCACTTAGAGAAACGCCGAGCATAGCCCTTTCCATAGCACGTTGAGCGACATTGAACCCGCCGTACCATAAGTGTCCGTGTACCGCAATCGGTTTCGGTAGTACATGTTCATTGAACATGACCTTGGTTTTATCCAAGTTCATCTGAAGGCCGATGCGTACAAAAGAGTCAGCAAGGTCATTCAGCATCTGCTGTAGGTCCCGCGGCGTCTCTGCCATGATGACGATGTCGTCTGCAAATCGCAAGTGAGAGATGTATTCGCCATTGATATTGATGCCACGCCCTTGCCAGTGCAGCGTCTTGAACATGTCCTCCATTGCATTTGTGAAAAAAATTCGGGGAAATAACGTCCCCATGACTCACAGCAAATCAGCAAACAAGGCCGTTGTATTGAGGAATACAACGGTATTGCCCTTGTTTGCTGATTTTGTACTTAGACGGACATGGTGGTGGATTCGTAGACACATTTCATAACTTGGATGTATCGCCATTCTAATTGGCAACGCTGCAGGGACTCCAGAACAGACCAGATCTCGATCGAGTCAATTGCTTTCTCATAGTCGACGAATGCTAGACACAGGGGGCTGATTATATGCTTCGGTCTTCTGTATAATCTCTATATAGATAAGTAAGTGCTTTTTAAGTAAGTTTTAACTCTAAAAAGAATCATTAAATATATAAAAACCTCTAGCTCTATTTCACTCATAAAACGCCTGCAGTAAAATGAATACAAATATTGTATACAAAAATATTGCTACAAAATTATTGTCAGGGTGTTGAATAAAACTTCGATTCAATGAATAAAATAGTTATTAAATAAAATGTACGGCAATATTTACTAATAACTTCAATGAAAGGGCTTTCCAAATAGTCCACAATACAAGCCAATTACTTAAGCGGATGAATAGAATTAAATATCATGGCAATCCAATTAATTTGTGTTCCGTTCCCTTTGTCGACGAAATTCATTTAACAATTTTCTGAGAGAAAAAAAAAGTAGAATGAACCGCAAACAGTAAGTTTAGTTCATTTTGAAGTGCGGTTGAATTTATTATATCTGGGGCTCGAGCGCCCGGGGAAAGTGGCTGTTGGCGGGCACAGTTCTCGGTAAATCCCGACAATTTCTCAGTGACCTGCGCTAAACAATGTTAGAAACATCAATGTCACTAATCGCAATATTAATGTCTGTATCAATGTGTCTACATGTATTTTTTTTAAATACAGTTTAGAGTTTAAAGACGGACAAAATGAGAACTATGAATTACATTTTCCTAATACTTTATTTTACTACGTAAATTTAAGTGTTTTAGAACCTTTAATTAACGTTATTCTAATTATACGATTTACGGAAAATAAATCCTACTGAAGTACTAAAAATAAAGTTACTGGGTATTTCTGGTTATATATATAAGAACAAAATTAAATGATCGTGCTTAACACACAGTCCAGTTGACTGTCCTAGGTGGGTATCGGACCTACGACCTTAGGCTTAGCAGTCATGATCACTAACCACTAGTCCAAGAGGCCTGTCAACATAAACTTAAGACAGTGTTAAGGTGATAGCTCATCAGAGCCACCCAACACCTGACTAGCACTGCCTCGCCTCGAGCGCACGCATAGCGCAGCATACGCACACTACATCAAATTCGGAGCGCCTCGCACGCGAGTTGCTCACATGCAGGTCCTGAACAGATCGCGCGCTGTCAGGGGGTGGTTGGAGTGGGTGGAGGACGGTGCATCGGCAAGTGACGATTCCTGACAAACTACTCATCTATTCACACGCAATGTACTGTCGTGTCAGACCACCAGTTCACTGGTTGACAACGTGGTGTCCACTAGTAGACCACCTATCACCAACGAGTGGACATCGAGTGTCGGGTGGGTCCAAGTTACCAATTAGTAGAGAAACACCCGTATACATCCATGCTTAGATTATGAATGTGAAAGTGAGTTTGTGTGTTACGTTTTCACGCCTAAACCACTAAACCGATTTTAATAATTCTTTTAAAAAATAGAAAGCTACATTATCAGCAAGTAACATAGGCCACTTTTTTCCGCGATAACCAAATACAAATCTAGTCTCGTTTAAAGTGCTAATAATTACAATTACGATGAATATTGTTGGTTTTTTTTTAACTTTAGAACCAGAACTTCTGAAAATATTATGATTATGACTACTTTTAGTCAAGAAGGGGGTCGTTAACTCTCAAAATGAAATACTAAAATGTTTAAAATTGGCTTTGTCAGGCGACTAGAATATGGGATTCCAGGAAGAAGTTCTAATTCATCTATTACACAAAAATAACTTTTTAAGAGAATATGATACGAACTTTAAATATGTAGGAATATAAAAAAGCTGAAATATTTGTTTATATGTTCAGAGAGCATATTTCGCGAAGAAATTTGCTGTTACACACCATGACGGCCAATAGTAATCACAAAATTTGATGCTAGTGAAAAGTTCAGGTATTACAGACGTTAATTTGTTAAAATATCTTTGGGCGAAATCTACCGATCCTTATAAATTATGTTGTAAACGGTAATTGATGTTTATAAGTCTTTGATTTATAAACCTTAATTACCGTATATTCAATGGATGATGTCCTTTGTTTACACTGTTATTAAAGTATTTTTAAAAAAAGAGACTGTAGTTTGACGTCCCACGTTTTTTAGTTTTGGACTGATTCTCGTTTTGTGTTTTCTTAACTGCACATTTCTTAATTACTATAGTCCATCTAATCTAAGCGGTACCGTTTCACGTTCCATACTTTTAAAACTGAAACAACGTTGTATAAAGAACAACAAAAACAAAAACAATTAAAATAAACTTTGCCTAAGACCATGGAATTTCGAAGCTACTTCTATTTTATCACAAGATGTACAATTCTTATTAACTAAATTTAAATGTAAATCTTTTAAACAAAGCAAAATAACCAATATGTACAATAGATAGAATTTGTTTTAGACTTCGTGTCAAAGTCACATAGTTACGTCCTTTACCGTAATGTTGTGACTCTTCAAATTTACTTGTTTACGAATAATCGTTAAAATGTGAGAGTAATCTAACTTATTAATAAACTGCTATTTTCAATCATGATATCTTTTAGTATTTACGATACGCGCCATACAAGACTCGCAAGCAAACAAACTTAGTAAGCATCAAAATACAGTTTATTTATTGTTTGCGTGAATTATTAACTTCATTTCTATTAAAATAATAAGTTTAGTGCCTTTGTTCGCTTCAGGACAGATTCGCTTTACGGCAGTAATTGTACAGTCGTGTTGAAACTTGAAATGGTCTCCACATAGTTTGCCTTATCATGTCCACATATTACATTGTCTGTATAACTAAAGTACCTCATCATTATCATCATCAGCCTTTAATAGTGCACTGCTAGACATAGGCCTCTCCTTAGAAAGGAGGTTTGGCCTACTGTACCACGCTGGAAAGACGAGTCGCCTTATTAGAGTATTTAAAAAAAGTTGAAAGCAATGTTCGACCTAATAAAGTTCTTCAATATTTAATTAATTTTTATATTTGTGATCAGCGTCATTTATAGATGCCAAAAACCACGTCATGTCATGAAGGGCAAAATTTCTTGCAACAGTTTTTTGTTAAATGTATGTGTTGGCTACCTTAAAAATAGGTGCAAAGTGCATTTTCGAACTATCTTGCCAGTTAATATGCCCACTATTGACACTCATATCTGCCTGAAACTAGACTTTGTGTTATTTATTTGCCTTTACTTAAGTGTGTTCAATAGTTTTTATAGATGTTCATTTGTCTACATTACTTTTAGAGATTTACTAGTATAAACTAAGATATAATAATATACGGCCTTATACAGTATCATACATAAATCTATAAAACTGGAATCGATTTATAATAGAAAGAAATCATATTGAAATCTCTTAAGAATCGGATATTGTAGCAATCGATTTTTTTGGCCCCCTCCTTATTCTTCAATCTGTCAGAACTGTCAAACTGTACCTCTTAGATTAGATGGACTATAGACTCAAATATTATCACGAATTTATTTAGTCATATTAATTATGTCACATAACTCACATTTATCGTTTGGTTTTAAACCAATAATGGAAAATGCGTTAAATTACCAATTTAAGTAATGAAAAATAATTCAAATGAACGATGAAGACGAAGTTCTCCTCGTCTTCCTGCTTGCTTGAAATCTATTAGTTTATTATTCATTAACATTCAAAGTGTACCTGTGAGTGATGCCTCTTTCTTCCAGGTGCTTCATGCCGAGGGCGACTTGCAGCGCGTAGTTCCTCATGGTGGTGCTGTCCAACTGTAACGCCGGCTCAGCTACATAATGGTCTTTTTTCTTTTCATTTTCTACGTATAACTTTTCATCGAAAAGTGCAGGATCTGAGTCGCTTAGATTTGTGTATTCCGCTTGAAATAGACCATAAAATTATTTTATTTGTTAAATTAGTATTTTAGTTATAAAATAGACGTTTGAAAACCACTCTGACCACCACCAATTCGGTTATATTGATTTAAGAAAACGTACATTTTGTTAATGATTATTAAACAAAAGAATAAAATACAATTATTATTGTTGAAAAAGACGAAAGTAAATAAAAAGGAAAAAAAGTTTAATTATATATGGTATCTAAGTGATGATGGGAAGAAGACGGTAGAGTATGTAAATGTTTCCAATTTTAGTTTAACTAAAGCATTTTCATGTGGTTTAGTGAAAGGTAAAAAACACCTCAAAAAATTCAAAACTGAATACATGAAGAATTCAGACGATAACCAAGTTCTAATACCGTACCATTTCTTTATAGTCATATATTTATAATGAATTAGATAGACAGTGTTCACATCTAGTCTTTATTCTATTTTCAATATTTGTAAACTATATCATAAATCAAATTAAACACTGCCATATCTTCTTTTTTGCTGACAATTTAAAAACACACAGACAAATTACTTATGAAGCAGATAATCTCGTAGTTCAGAGCGATTTAGAAAATATTGAAGCCTGGTGTAAATGCAATAGTATGACTAAACGTTTACAACTGTCAGCATTTTGTTCCACTAATGGCCCTACTTTTTAGTTCCAAAGTCAAATATTTCATATTGCAATAATCTATTACTATTTACGTCATTTTATGTTACGCGATCAATAATTAAACGCAAGTGTGTAAAACGTGAAACACCTATTTTAGATTATTATCACTAAAACAGTCAAAAAGGCACCTTCGGTAGTGAATGCCTTAAACTCTGAGTTAAGTCAAACTTTATAAAAAACTTACAATCCGCTTCCGACGGTCGTTGTCTACTATTACTATTACTGTGGCTATCCACTCTTTTTGTGGTATTCAACACTTGACCGTCCTTCCTCCTCCCCCTAGCAGCTCTCAGTAGCGTCAGCAAATCACCTCTAGGAGCGTGTTCCAACAGTGCGATAACAGGAGCTCGGCGGGTACAACACGCAATTAGTTGTATGACATGTTTGTGTGAGCCGACGTGTTTGAGCATCATGATTTCGCGGAGGAAATCTTGCATTTCTTCTTCCGAAGCGTTTTCTGTAATATTACAATATAATTTAAAATGGTTGTCATTAAAGGGTGGTCCCTCATTAGGTACATTTATCAGAAATGTAACAATCCAAGATTCGATATTCTAATTCCATCATTGCTAGTTTCAAACTGTAATGCATGGATCTCCTCAATCGTTCATGTGATGTTAAAAAATTACGATTCCAGGTTCCAAGCTACAATGATTACATTACAGGTACAGGTTACAGTCGAACTCGTGCGCCGAGGGTCCGTACCTACCCATTCCGTTCCTGAGAAAATCGGTGGTGACACACGAACTGACAGACGGACAGACGGATAAGAGAGTGATCTTATAAAAGTTCTTTTTACTTTTTTAACTTTTGAGGTACAGAACCCTAAAAATAAAGTCCTCTACGATTGATAACTAAATAAAAGATAAAATTTCAATAATCAGTATTGAAATTTCAATATAAAACACTGCTGCCTATCGCTTTAGTGATACTCAAACGTAAGTATAAAACGAATGTTGTATTCTATGTGATTTGACTGACTTGATGTGACTTGCTGAATATGATATAATTACTAGAAAACAATAACAAAAAGTTTCCGTAAACGCAGGAACTTGAAAAATAACAGTGAATTATACTTGTCTGTAATTTGAGGTAAATTATACGTTTATATTATCTAAGCTTCAACCGGTTCAAAAGTGCATCCATGAAGATTACAAATTGCAAACTTTCATTTCCTAGAAACGGTCACGTAATCGCTCTCATGCTAAATTGGTTAAACATTTATGAATACTGCTGAAAACTAGTGATGGGTAACAATGGAGCAAGTGACGTATTTGTTAATCAGCTTAGGATCATCAAATACCTACCTTTTACGCTTTATCTACTTACCACTCGAGTGTGAAAGACATTAGACAGTAATTTTACAGGCGTATGTTTGTCACATCTATATAGAAAGAGTGGAGGTGTGCGTCTATTGTAGTGTTTTTATAACCTTTGGTTATAGTTTTAGGAACACAACGCTATTAATGGCGTATTAGTATTACTACGTTGTCTTCATCATGTTTACCTGGCGGCCATCAAACATTGGTAGGAGTACTGTACAGCAATTATCATTTACGTTTCACATTGCGTCTTAGAAATTTTCTTTCCGACATTAAAGTGGTATTTTGCAAACGAAAACTGACATTTGGCAAAATATGTTCTGTTACTGTTAACGACTTTGTATATATGTATAAAAGTTAAATTTTAGCATCAAACAGGTAAGTTATATCAATTCGTATCAATGGATTTTAGTATGTTCTTTCAACTTTATAAGATAAACTACATAAAGTAATCGTAGCTTTGATAAATTGGGTCAATTATTAAAATACCGTTATTATTCGGGAAGATATCATTGTTCGGACATAATCATAAGGTACAGAATATCATTGTACCTATTCCGACCACTGTTTATAAATGTATTTTGCGCTTTTTCCACCAAATGGTGACATAGAAAAAATCTATCTGTTTCTGCTTATTAAATTTTTAATAATGAGAGAAAAACTTTCTTCTAAAATGTATTTCCCGCTTTTTTAACTAGTACACAAACTACACTAACCCGTAAGCATCTTAGCCGCTACAGTGATAGTCTCTCCACCAGGCAAGTCTAATTGTGCCGCGTGTACTCTGCCGAACGCTCCACTGCCAATTAATGCTCCTATGTGTACCCGAGATCTGCTGACTTCGAACTCATCACTCTTTTCGTCTTCAATCTAAAAAAAATACACTGAGAATAATATACATTACATTCTAAACCAATTTATTTTCCAAAGGGGTTTCCAATTTTATCCTTACTTCACACATCTCATACAAGACAGTCTGATCCCAATCTAGGCAGAGCCTGTGCTATTGTAACCAGACTACTGACAAACAGCTCAATATTTATAAATTCATGCATATTCTAGATAAATTATGCCCAGACACAGAACCAATGATGTATTATGTAAATCAATTAAAATGGCATTTTTTTTGCAAACTATTTTGAATTTTTCAAAATAGGTAAAGTTGTAACAAAAGACTTACCCCTAATTCTTTTTGGATGTACAGCGGACTATCTTCCATTTGTCCTCGTGTTGGTGTTTCGTTATTCCTGTAGGCAAAAAACGAACCAATTGAAATTGGCGAAAAGCGAAAACCGCAATTCGAATCATATTATTATTTTTTCACATCATGATAATCGAATTCACTTATTAAAAGTTACAATATTATTCATAATTTACATAATATCTGATAATTTACATGAACTCAGAAATGAGGCATAAATAGAACTTTTTAAATAGAAGGATAACATCGAAATTTGACCGGTACTCCTTCCTAACATGCCGGCAACGCGTTTGTGATTCCTGAGTTGCAGGCGTTCATAGGCGGCGGTAATCACTTTTCATCAGGTGAATCGGAATCGTCGGCCCGTCTGCCCCCTCTTGCATAAAAAAAATCCTTGAACACGAGTATGTACTGAATCCATTTTAAAGTGATTTAACAATTAACTCTTACGCTAATTTATAATCTTATTCATTTTTTTGCAGCATGTTTTCGTAGTAGCATTAGTGCACAGTTGCTTTAAAAGGCCCTTTGTCTACAAATTTGAAGATACTTTTTCTTTTGGTTTTAGATCGTATTTGAAATCGTAAAATATCATAACATTTTTGTATAAAGACATTTTGACTGGCTCGAAATAGTATAAGTTAAGCGACGTTTGCTCTTTGTAAGGTTATTTAATATTTAACCAAGAGTTCCATATTTGATAAGAAAATGTATGGGGCCTATTATTTTCTAGTCTGTTGCAACAAAGCTTTTAACAATTAAATTAAATAAACGGGTAATACAACAAATAGTGTGTAAGTTTCGCTTAAGAAATCTTCGTGTTTTTTTAGTATTGTGTCCTCATTGTGGAGCAACTAATACCGTGCTATATCTGCATACGCAATAAATCGTGCTAGTGATGTGATTATACGACATTAGGTTTCTAAAGTTTTATTATTCTGTGGTCGCTGAGTTGATGTAGTCTTAGTTTATTTGTGTAAAATAAGGACTAAGATAGCACAAAATCTTGTGAAAAAACACATATAACGTGTACAGGACTGCTTCGTCTAAAATTAAACTCTGTTTCCACAGACCAGTAACCACTACATTTCTTCGTAGAAAAACAAATTTTAATGTCTACTAGTAAGGATTGTAATAAAATAGTTTAATAACCACATGAACAATGATCTTGCTTTTATTAGAAATTAACGCCAAAATTGATAAAAACATTACAAGACAGGTCTACTCTGCACTTAAGGTATGAAGCTCATGGTCTCATTCATCACGGCAGGTCGTCCGATTGAATTACTCAACTTTAATAAAGGCACAAGCATTTGGCATCCAAATGTTTCATCATAATAACTTAAAATTCAGAAACAAATAAAAGGAGATAGAAAAATAGACTCCTTACACAGACAGGTTATTTCTGAAATATTTCCAAAAACTTAAGAATTATGAGTGTTTTATTAAAATCAACCCTTTATTTTAGATAATGCCAGAATTTAATACACGTGTATAATACAAGTATAGTAAATCCCTGGCCGGGGTCAAGTGTCCCATCACTAAGGGGTCAGATGTCGTATCTAAGGTCGTATCTTGCGAATAAAATTATGATGTAAGATTTACGTAAAGGTGTAGGTATGTGTTCTTTACACAAACTTATTATTGCAAGGCATTAGCAGTATATGGTTGCTCTACCGTTTACCATTTGTTACATACTTCTTAACTACAAAAATAGTTGGATTTATTTTATGCTTCTTTAAAAGACAACTCCCGCATTAGGAATATATCCTGTGTCGCGTGGATTTTACAAACATACATGAAACCATTGAGTTAAAACAACACTAGAGAAGCAAACCTCATTATCACACGTCGAAAAAAGTGTAACCACTTTTGAACTTTGACGACGTAGCTTTGATACCACTAAACATTTGAAAGTAAACATATTTATGTCTCATTTACACGCGAGACAAGAACAATACCATCGCTCGGATTAGACAAAGACAAAGATATAACTTTACGATGGTGGGCCAGTGTTGACTACCGTATGAAATTTTACCCATAACAACTAATAAACAATTTTTTTTAAAACAATTTTGTAATAAAATAAATGAATTTAAATATTCTAAATAATATATTTCGAATTGAATAGAATAGGTATAAATAATAAAATAACTGGAAATATTTGGTTAAAAGGGTTTATATTCAGTGTAAAATCAAACTGCGCTGTGAAGCATCAGTTTTGTATACAATTGTCTTTTAGACTCTTTTTTATAAGTTTGTGTGGATATTTTACTTTCATGATACAATCTTATTTTTACGTATGTAAAAATAATAGCATTTAATAATAAAAGTGAATGATCAACTTGTACTGATAATTAATAATCCCCAGGGTGTATTGCAAATTCTATTATAATTTAAAAAACAAATAAAAAAAAAAAAAAAATATATTTTTATTTTATAAAAAAAATTATTTATGTTTATTTACTTTTTTATTTTATATTTTTATTTTTATGATAAACATTTATTATTATTATTATTTTGTACAATTATTATTTAAAATTGATAATAAATTAAGAAAAACAATGAATAAATTTTTTTGTACAAAAGTCTCCAGCACTGCGAGCTTGGCACTTCTGCCAAGCTCGCAGTGAACGTTCAACGGGTCCCTAAAAAAAGGGATCGGTCCAGCCCTAACAACTACCGTTCTTCCTATATTTTATTATTATTGGCAAAATGTTTAAAAACAGTATAAAGCATATTATTTCATAAATTATAAATTCTCCCACTAATGTGGGAAAACCAAAATGATTTTTTAATGGTAACACTGATTCTAAATTACAATTATCAGTGTTTTATTTCAATTATAGCCTTATTTACGATATTATCAATACAAAAACCATAAACTTACACGTGAAAAGTAATTCCGCATGATTTATTAATGTTTTGTGACCTTGAATCGCATTCTTTCACTACGCATTTAGCCATTTTGGCGATTGTTACTGTCATGTGTCGCTATGTTCAACTCGGTTGACGCCACATTGAATAATGAATTGACGTTTGCTACGCATATGCCTGTGGACATATGTGCAGTAGCAACGATTTTAGGCGGTAATTACTCATCTATGTAAGTATTATATCAATGCATGAAACGTACACAAAGAACACCCAGACTCAGAACAACAATTTGTGGATCACACAAAAATTTGTAGATTCTTAACTCAGCGCAGTAGGAAGCAGCGAGATGACCGCTTAAACCATTACGCCATCCGTGCAGTCTGCTATTAAAGATTACAAATTTAAACCCTAAACCAACAGAATAGGATTCTGTTTGCTCTGAGTATACGAAATGATGTAGAATGGAGTTATTAAATTGATGTTATGACTTCGCTATAACCATTATTCAGATTACAATTACAAAAATTTCTGAGAAATATTAAAATTCCAGTTATTCTTTCTTATATAATTTCTGCGTTTCTTCGCCCTTTTTTAAACATATTTCATTGACTCCTATTGATGGTAGCGTGATGTTATTTATATAGCCTATAGCCTTACGGCCAGCATTGCGATTGGCCCGAACTAAAATCTTCAACAATCGCAACGCCGAACACCCTCGCTGTCGAGAGCGAGTTGATGTGAAATAGACTTGAACTAAGCCCTCAGCCAGGCACTAGGTTTTTTTTTCACAAATGAGGGAGCAAACGAGAAAATGTGTCACCGCATTGAAAGTGATCCCGCTCATGGACGTCTGAAACGCAGATTTAAAAATAAAAGTATCAGCAAGATATCAAACAACTGAGCTAAATAGCTTATGATTACTAGCGATCCGATCCGGCTTCGCACGGGTGCAATGTAGCTAGTGCTAATACTACTAATTTGATGTCAGTGTAGAGTAATTAATTTTACAATTATTATGATAAGACTATGCTACAGGAAATCTTTACATGCAATATTTTGTAGGCCCGCTCCGCTCCTGCCGGCCGCTATTACCTGGGTCGGACGTACAGCCCGACGACGGCCGCTTTGTCCCCGCAAATTAAATCTTTGATATCTTCTAAGATTAATCTTTCAAAGATATGTTTTGATATACATTATTTGCACAACGTATCTAACTTATTTAATTGGATCAGAAATAATACCTTATTGTTCAAAATGACTTCGTAAATAAACCCTTACTATTTTTATACGTAAAACATAGAAATGGTTTCTGTGGGTTATCCTTAGGAGATAGACAAAATGTAATATAATAAAATAAAATGTAAGTGCATAAAAACATGTTTTTACGACATCACAATTTGTGATTGTGAGTATTGCGAGTATGAGTAGTGATTGTTATTTAATAATTTTGATAGCAACTTTGAGAAGAGACTTGTTTGTTTTTCTTTTATTTCTTTATTAGCTGACCCGGCGAACTTTGTTCTACCTTAGAGGCAATAAATGAGCAGATTTTGGATTTCATTTCTATTAAGATTATAAATATAATTAAAAAAAACAACTACTTTAATGATTCTTTATTGGCGCTGTATTTTGGTGCATCGGTTGCACTCTTCAGTGAAGCACCTTGTGATAGATGACATTTTTCGTTTTATTATCAGGCGCAAGCACAAATAACGCACATTTTGTATCTTCTAAAATGTATAAGACATATAATATTATTAAATGCATATTTTCTTTGCACCAATAATCTTTCATATTTGTAAAATTGTACTTGCAAGTGTACTTGTACTGTTGCAGTGGATGTGTGGAGTAACGCGGAAGGACCATTGCGGATAAGTCACAAGAGTGTCGCCTCCGGTGGTATGGCTACGTCTTGTGGCAACCGCCTAGCTACGTACGTAGTAAGGGATGATATGCGTGCCAATGGCCTCACACCGCGGGATGCCGAAGACCGTGCGAAGTGGAGGAGAATGAGTTGGAAAGTGGAACCCCGGGCGTCACCGTGCGTAACCGGGATTAACGCTCGGAAGATGATGATGACGGTATCAAACGCAAAAACACCAGAGAAAAAAACATCACTAAGGGTGAAATCTGGTTAATCA